AAAAAATTAAGAAAATTAATTAAAACTATTCGTAAATCAGCTAAAATTCTTGAAGATTTGGAAAATATAGCAACTTTAGATCAAAAAACTTTTTTAATTCCAATTCTGGACTGTAAGACAAGATGGAACTCAACTTACCAAATGATTAAAAGAGCATGTATACTTTATGAGTCTTTAGAAATATTATTAGTTAAACATCCAAATTTAAAAATTTCTATGCCAAATAATGAAGATTGGAAAATTTATGAAGATTGATTCAGTTATTAGAACAATTCAATGATGCTACTATTGAACTTTCATCACAAACTTATCCAACAATTGCACATACACAAATAATTTTATTAGCTCTTAGAAATGATTTAGAACTTGATAAGGGTGAAAACTATCAATTACAAAATATTGTTGATGCTATGATATATAAATATATTGAATATTTCAATTTAATAACAGAATCTTTACACATTTCTGCTTTTTTAGATCCTAGATATAAAAAGTATTGTTTTCCTAACATGTCCATTGAAGAAATTTTAACACCAATTAGAAAAAAAATAAATTTACAATCAACTTTATTACCACCACCTAAAAAAGCATCAAGTTTTTATCAAAAATTACTACATTCATCACAACAAGTACAAACAATAGATGATGAAGTTCAAAAATATTGGTCTAATGCAGAAGCAAATGAATCTATAAAACTTTTGGATTGGTGGAGTACTCATACAGCAGAATATCCAATACTTTCAAAGCTTGCTCATGATTATTTGTGTATTCAAGCTAGCTCAGTCCCATGTGAACAACTTTTTTCAATTGCTGGTCAAGTAATTACTAAATCAAGAAATAGATTAAGTAGTGAATCAGCTAGAGCATGTTTATGCTTACATAGCTGGTTATCAAAAAATATTATATAATTTTATTAAATTAAAATTATTATATATATATTTTATATCTATATCTTTATTTTTATATATTCTTTATTTTTATATATTTATTATATATATTTATTTATTTATTTTACTTTTATTTATTTATTAAATTATATATATTTTTTATTTAAGGTTTTTTCTCATTGGGTTTTTTTCCTTGGCAATTTGCCTAAA